ATAGGGCTGAGATTTGGCCGTTGGTTTCTGTCTCATTGGATGCCTGACTGCATGTCTTATTTATCAACGCTGACTTAGTACGAAAGCGGTTGGTTTTCTCCGCTACAGTTTTGTTAGGAGGACGAAAAGCCCAGCGATTTTTATACATTTGGCTGACCAATGAATATGTGTTCTCTGTTGTTATAAAACGTACCAATACTTTCAATTTCATCGACATTAAGCTCATATGTTTTTGTTATTATCCCGCAGCAGTAATTTCCCTTCCTCGTTTTATATAACGAAGTATGGCGTTCTTTGACTTAATAGTGGTTTACGTAAGAGAGAGCGAGACACATTTTTATTCTTGGTACAGTAACCAGGTGGTTATTTTCTTAGTGGAAATACTTATTGGAACATTTTTGTTTTTAATTTAATCTCGCTAACAGCTTTTTTTCGTACGCGCAACGCCGTGACAGTTCATCACTTTAACTAAATTCAAGTACAAAAATGGCACAACGCCGTATCCCTTGTTCATCTGACGGCCATTATGCATGTGGCTGCTCTTAAAAGCAACTATATGAATAACCTCAGCGTCTACTATTGACATTCATTTCATTTCGTGCGAAGAAAACTTTTGATTGAATGTACAGGGCACAACTTTTTCGTCTTCTGTCAAAGTGATATTTTTCCTTAAAAAGAGTTATGGAGATTTTATGTCTTCGGGTTAAAAAAAAACTACAGCTGCTATTTTTTTGAGCTAAAGATAACATATTGACGTTTATATCAATGAAACGAAGTCTAAAAGTGCCTCCTGCAACGCAGCCTTAACATCTTGACAAAGATATACAAAAGATGTTAGTTCAGGTCTCGGCTGGCTCACTTTGTAGGACCATAAAATAATACCCCGGGCAAGCATAGGCAGCCAATAATCTGCCATGCCTATGCTTGTCAGAAAGTATTTCTATACAAAATTAAGCCCGTGGTAAATGCGGACATTGAAATCCAATGTTATCCTTTTTTTAAAGTGCCCATATCAGGCATCGTTTCAAGAACAAGGCAAACGCTACAAAAATGATTTTCTCGTCTACGGGAGTTTAGTTACATCTTATTACCAATCCGAAAATATATCCTGTTTTGGTTCATAAATTACGTCTCATCCTTTGGAAGTTTATCCATAGCAACTATCTGGAGAAACTAAGAATATTAAAATTTTGCCAATGTTCAAAGTATGCATAGCTGCGATGGTTGCTGCTAATTTCTGAAGCTAATGGTTCCTACGTATTTCTGAAGCATCAATAATGAAGCTGAAGCTACATCCGCTCCGGCAGCGCTCATGAAAAAACTAATTAATTTAGTTTTGATCGTTCGCTCCGTCTCCACGTCTATTCTTCCCTTCTTATATAAATATCACTACGCGAATTCAAGGCAGGCGAACAATCAAGGCAACAACATTTAAATTAACATTTATACGAGCTCGTAATTTAAAACAAGAACGATTTCAAACATGAAGTAGAAAACGCGTCACTATAACGTTCTAAATAATTCACTATGCTCTTTAAACACCGAACATCCGTTCTAGCTTGTTCTAAATTAGAGTTTTTCATTTAAACTTTATACCTCGGCTGCTTTGTACGATTTTTTTATAGTCGCATTACTTAGCAGTTATAAACAGTTATTACTGTTTAGTTACTTTCATTTGTTAGAGGCATGGTCACTAGATAAGATGAACTCAGACTCAAAGGCCGAGAGACGTTTCACGCCCGCAATAACTGCGTCAGAACGCAGTGTTTCTCGACCAGCGTTCGCAGTGACTATTCATACTCCTGGCATAACCTAATTTTTAGAGCGCAGGTCTTGGTCCAATCCTTCCTTTTTAGTTTTAGAACAAGTAGTAAGGTCAGCGGCGCCAGAGCTGAGATTCACGTTAGAGAGGCCAAGGGGCGAGGTCCTGCAATTTCTCGACCTGCGTTTACATTTGGAACGAGGTCTTTGTTGGGAGTATGGGAATGAAAACCCAAAACCGGTTCTGTCAAAGAGTAGCTGTCACTCGAAAAATGTAAAAGCCGGGGTAGTCAGATCTTTGATTAGTAATGCTTTGGTGAGATCATGCATGCATTTCGGACCGGAGGCACTAAAAAACCAGTGGGAAAGACTGGTAATGGCAGGATATGGGGAAGAGTACATCAAAAGGCAGATTGCCCTACAGTGCAGGGAAAAAAAGGGGAAGACGCAAGAAGTCAGGAATAGGTACGCTGTGGTTCCGTATTTTCACGAGGTGTCCCACAATCTTAGAGCATGTGCAAAAAAATATGGCGTGGATGTCGTATTCAGCACGGATTTTAGGTTAGATAGATTGACACCTTTTGAAACGGCTCAGAGGGGCTGTCAGAAGGCGCATAGGGAAAAGTCGGTGCCGTGTAGCGTAGGCGTGGTGTATGAGGTTCCTTTGGCGTGTGGTTTTAAGTATGTAGGCCAAACCTCTCGGTGTTTAAACGATCGTTTAACAGAACACAAAAGGAATGTTAAAAATAATGCGGCAAATTCGGAGTTGGCTAAGCATCTGGAGGAGTGTAGAAACTGCACAGCGGATTGCACTGGAACGGATGTAGTTGTTAAGGAAAGCAACGATGTTAAAAGGGTGGTAAGAGAAACAATTAGGATTAGATCGTTGGGAAATTGCATTAGTCAACCTTCCATGCAAATAGGGAACCGCTGCAAGCAATTTTTACAATTTTAAGTGTTTTTTTTTAGTTAGTCATCCTGAAAGGCTTCTTTGGTGTGTATTGTCTGTAGTGTGTACTGGTGTGTATTGTCTGTTTTCTACAGTTTTGGAGGTGACCAGTTTTGATTGGGATGTTGTTGTGGGTTGTTGTCCTGTTTATTGTGAGGACACAAAATAGTTGCTTGAAGCTTTGTGAGGCATATCTTCTGATAGAACCTTTTTACTTGGAAACGTTGGGAGTGTCCGCTTCTTTTGTGATAGAGTGGAACCTGTAAAGTCACGGTGCAAAGGACAAGTCGTGTGTGATTGGTTGTTGACGACGAAAACGAACTATATAAGAGGAAGTTGTTGAAATAAACGTGTAGCTGAGTTTGAGACCTGTCTGTTTTTTCTGTTACTTTTGCTCTTCAAAAAACCCCCCAGTCTCAGGGTAAACGACGAAATGGTTGACTTCCACCAGCCAGCCTGTACTTTGACTCTTTTCTCGTCTATCGCTTCTTGTTCGTCAGGAGACGCATGTAGAAATGAGAGAGGTCTTGAATTAACGACCGCCTCAATTCCGTGGAGGATCGTGGTAAGTTCTTCAAATTCGTAGCTGTTCCTTCCTAGAACCTTTCGAAAACTTGCTTTTACGGTGCGCAGTAGGCGTTCCCAAAAACGGCCCCACATGGCGGCTCGCTCTACGATAAATTTCCACTGTATTCGTTGCTCGAAATAATATTCGTGCGCTTTCTTGTCAACGAACACGTTCTAGAAGTCACAAATTTCCTTGGAGGCTTTCTTGAAAGTTAAGGCGTGGTCAGTGTACACCACCCGAAATATTCCTCGCCTGGCTTTGAGCCTCTGGTGGGCCATCAGGGAGGCTGGAATAGCCAGGCATGCGACCAACTCTAGATGTACGGCGCGCGTAACTGCGCAGGTGAATAGTGCGATGTGAGCCTTTTCCATGCCGCTTCCAGACTTGATCAAGAGGGGTCCGGCAAAGTCCACGCCTACTATTTCAACCGGTCCTGCTTCATTCACGCGCTCTGCTGGAAGTGGAGCCGTTGGTGCTGATGTCTTTTGGACTCTTGACCGAGCACAGACGTTGCAGCGGTTAATAGCCCTCTTGACGGTCTGCCGAGCTTTAGGAACCCAATAACGCTCTCTTTAATTTGTTACAGTGTCTTGTATTCAGAAGACTTTGACGAGCGTGTTGGGACAGATGTAACAGTAAGAAAGCACAAAACAAACAGAGGGACAAAAACAGACATGTACAAGCTTTCAGTTTACAACAACATATATTTGACGCCAGCGAAGTCTGCACCAACAACCGTCGGTGGGGAAAGGGGGAACGAGCAAGAGGGAGAAAAGAAGGGAGAGAAGGTTGAGAGGGAAGAAAAGGGGGGAGGGAAGGGAAGATAGCGTTTCCGCATACGAAGCTGATTGACGGCCGAAGGCCGAGGGGGGGGTCTAGTTGTTCAAGGTTGTGCAATTGGAGTCCGAGAAAACGCCGGCCTCAGAAACACCAGTTCTGGTTTTGTCAACGAGAGGGATGGGGAAGCAATGTTATTCTTGGTGGTAGTCATCCTATAAGCTTCAATTATCTCCCTCCCATAGCGCTCCCGGTGTCCCCCAACTACTTTGGTCTCGTTGAACAAAGGCGTGCATGCCTGGCACTCCTTACCGTGAACTATAATAGGATGCAATGACCCCTCTGGCTGTGACGCGCATTCAATGTGGTGTTCTCGGAGGCGATCATTTATGCATCGGCCTGTTTGGCCGATATATTCCGCACCGCAGGTCAAAGGAATCGAGTAGACTTTTTCTTTTGCGCATCGAACGAATTGAGAGCCGTGTTTTTTTGCACATGCTGGGGGGGAACTGGCGTTGTTAACCAGTTTGCACATGGAACCCAGTTTGAACCTGCATTTGAAAATGACCTTGGTGCCAAAGCGGGACGCGAGAGACTTGACGCGGTGCGCCACGTTATGCATGTAGGGAATGCAGGCGATCCTCCCGCCCGGAGCAGCCCGTGAGGTGCGGGGAGTTCGATTTACGATGAGCCTCTGCGTGACAGAACTGAGAAGGTCCATCGGGTACCCTGCCTTGAGAAGGCGGTTAAATTGTGTTTTCGCACTCGAGGTTGAGTGGTGACTGCACGACCTGCTGCGTGCAGAGGTGATCAACGAAGTGAACGAAGCACCCATCGCACGACCCCACCCGCCCCTTATCCCACATTCAGACCCCATCATCTTCGTTTGAACCTACCACGTTCCTCCGTGCCGCCATGTTCATTTCAAGGCAAACCCTCCTCAAGATGCGCCTCCGGACATTGGGTCTGTGCGTCCGCAAGAATGTCGTGCACCCCTCGGTGTTTCAAGCCCTCGGCTTCCACTCCCACAACTGGTCATCAGGTCACAGGATCATGCAGATATCACGCAAAGAATTGTCTGAAGAGCTCCGACTGACAGCGGCTGTTCTTCCGGGATTCATGACATCGTGCTTCGGACCATCCTACGGCAAGCACGCGTCGTTTATCTTTCTGCAAGAAGCCGCTGCGCAGCTCTTGGAGTCATCCTGGAGGAATGTAATTGCGGGGGTGGCCACCTCAAGCCGGGCTAACACGAGCTCAGGATTTGATCCGCCAATTAATATTTCCGGAGTCGAGCTCTCTGAGAACACCAAGACCGCCCTTTCATGTGGCCCCAAGTTTGCACCGGACTCCCAGGTGCCGAGAATCGATCAGCTAGCTGCGGTGCATCAGGTGGCATCAACGGTTCCAGAAAAAGAACGCCACGAGTTCCTGGGAGCAGCGGTGCGATCCGTGTGCACCCACCCTGTGCCGGCGCCCTCCACCAAGTTCTCCGTCAAGTCAGCTGTGGATGAACTCCGATCTTCAGACCTCAAGCTTCTTGAGGCCGACAAGACTGGAGGTTTCGTCGTCATGGGTGAGGACCAGTACCGACAGAGGGTAGAACAAGCTCTTGACAAAAACTTTCGTCGAGTAAAGGGGCGGCCTTCGGGGTCTGTTCGGTCCAGAGTTAAAGAGCTGTGCTCCGAGCTTAATCTCCCGAAACTCAAAAGTTCCGTCATGAAACCATCCAAGCAGTACTTATCCCTGTTCTTCTCAGCGAAGACTCACAAACCGGAATTACCCTTCCGCTCCATTGTTTCGGAAGGCGGAAGCTGGCAGAAGCCCCTTGCGCTTTTTCTCCAAAAACACCTCTCCCTTCTCACCCCTTCCCAGCCGTTCCGAATTCGTAACTCTAACGAGCTAATTACGGTTTTGACTCCCTTACATAACGCGCCCGTTCCACTGTCAGTGTTTTCTTACGACATCGAGGATATGTATTATAGTTTAGACATTCCTTTCCTAATTAAGTGCGTTGATGAGGCCATCAATGAGTTCGGCCTGTGCAGGTTCCAGAACGCTTCAGGCATTCCACTGTCTGGGTTTATCCAGTTGCTCCAGCTTTACCTCCGCTCTACAATGATTGAGCAAAACGGAGAAGTGTTTATTAAAAAATCAGGTGTATGCATTGGGTCTTGCCTGGCACCGGTGCTGAGTGAAATCTATCTTTCCTTCGTAGATAGGACAATCGACGAGGAACTACGGAGCATCGTGCCCGGATGTCAGGTAGTGCGCTATGTGGATGACTATCTTGTAATTCACCCCACAGAAACCCCGGTCCATTCTATTTCGCCTTGTTTTCTCAGCGCGGCAGGCAGCCTCAACTTTAAGAGAGAGGACCCCACGGAGGAGGGACTGCAGTACTTAGACATCAGGTTGAATACGACTGAGAGGGGTATCTGCTGGGCGTTTCGGCAACGTTCGGAGAAACCAGTTCTTCCCTTTTCCAGCTCCCATTCCAGGTCCGTTAAGACGGGGGTGGTCACTTCGTTGATCACCTCTGCACGTAGCAGGTCGTGCAGTCACCACTCAACCTCGAGTGCGAAAACACAATTTAACCGCCTTCTCAAGGCAGGGTACCCGATGGACCTTCTCAGTTCTGTCACGCAGAGGCTCATCGTAAATCGAACTCCCCGCACCTCACGGGCTGCTCCGGGCGGGAGGATCGCCTGCATTCCCTACATGCATAACGTGGCGCACCGCGTCAAGTCTCTCGCGTCCCGCTTTGGCACCAAGGTCATTTTCAAATGCAGGTTCAAACTGGGTTCCATGTGCAAACTGGTTAACAACGCCAGTTCCCCCCCAGCATGTGCAAAAAAACACGGCTCTCAATTCGTTCGATGCGCAAAAGAAAAAGTCTACTCGATTCCTTTGACCTGCGGTGCGGAATATATCGGCCAAACAGGCCGATGCATAAATGATCGCCTCCGAGAACACCACATTGAATGCGCGTCACAGCCAGAGGGGTCATTGCATCCTATTATAGTTCACGGTAAGGAGTGCCAGGCATGCACGCCTTTGTTCAACGAGACCAAAGTAGTTGGGGGACACCGGGAGCGCTATGGGAGGGAGATAATTGAAGCTTATAGGATGACTACCACCAAGAATAACATTGCTTCCCCATCCCTCTCGTTGACAAAACCAGAACTGGTGTTTCTGAGGCCGGCGTTTTCTCGGACTCCAATTGCACAACCTTGAACAACTAGACCCCCCCCTCGGCCTTCGGCCGTCAATCAGCTTCGTATGCGGAAACGCTATCTTCCCTTCCCTCCCCCCTTTTCTTCCCTCTCAACCTTCTCTCCCTTCTTTTCTCCCTCTTGCTCGTTCCCCCTTTCCCCACCGACGGTTGTTGGTGCAGACTTCGCTGGCGTCAAATATATGTTGTTGTAAACTGAAAGCTTGTACATGTCTGTTTTTGTCCCTCTGTTTGTTTTGTGCTTTCTTACTGTTACATGTCTTGTATTCCTCCATGGAATGTAAGTCGATGCATGCTGTGTATCAGAAGTTCAGTGAAACGACGCCCAGAGGGTAACAGTAGTGAGTGCTTGACTTCTACTGGTTCGTGTCTGCCTTGGAGTCGTCCTCCGAGTCGCAGTTGCGGTTAGCATCGAGGTAAGGACTGAGAGCAATAATGCTGGATTTCACGTTCAAACCTCTGTCTTCCACTAGTCCGTTGGTCTCATTGGTGTAAGATTCCTCTTGGGTTCGTTTAATCAAAAATAGTTATGCTTTCTCAAGTTCATTTGTGGCCAGAGGACCCCCCGTTTTACTTGGTGGTGTTCTGCAGTTCTTACAGAACGTCATGATCCACGCTGTAACTCAAAGAACACGTTCTAGTTTGCTGTATCGCTCTAACTCCAAGAGCGGTGTCGTTTCCTAGGTTAGTATATGTAGCACGTGAGGTTTCCAGCTTCATTCTTCTTCTGCTACTTCGGTCGGCATCTTTTCGTTTCTATTCGCACTTTACCAAGTTGTTCAGTCTTCTGAGAGCCAACTAGGGCCCTTTCACTATAGTTGTCAAGTTTTTAGGTACTCTACCGACATTCCTCGTGTTGTTAACTCAGCAGGCTTTTCTAGTCCAGGGCAGTGGTTCCAACTTGTTGGTTCCCCTCCTGATTGAGTTTCGGTCACTCCATTAGCAACGAAAGGTTTCCACATGTAGGCCGAGCCCTTGATTCAATGGAGAGCGATTGTGCTGTCGGTCCAGAAGAATGCCACCTGAAACTTCAGTATCCTTCTAAAGAATTTGCCAATTTGATTACCGATCACGGCCGCGATAAGCTTAAGACGAGGAAGTGTCAACCGTTTTATAGAAGCTACTCGTGTTTTGGCCAACACGTTTCCATCCACGTAGTCAAACCTCCGGTACGCACAGGTTCTACAAGCCAGAGGGCTAGCGTCACAGTAGACATGAAGTTGCACAGTATTTGGCTGCTGTTTTCGTGTGCTCATGATGCACCGGTTCGTCATTGTGTCTTTTAACTGTGAAAGCTGGTTACACTATTTTTGCCAGTCTCCTGAGAGGTCTTCTGGAAGTTCACTGTCCCAATCGAGTCCGCGTTCCCATAGGCGCTGGAACAAAATCTTCACTCTTATCACAAAGGGTGCTACGAGCCCGATTGGATCGAAAACCCTCGCTGCAGCGCGTAGCATTCCCCGCTTCGTCCTGGCGTTACTGTTGATTAAGTTCAGGATATTTTTTTTTTACCTGAATCAATAAAGTGTCATTATCCCGTATCCATTTAAAACCAAAGACCCCTTCGGGCTCTAAGTCTGTTGCCAGGCTACCTTCGTTGATTACTTTCTGGAGTTCGCTGGAGTTTGTAGCCCATTCTCAAAGTGTCATGCCTGCTTCTATCACGATTTGATTGGCTTGGGTTTGAAGGTGTCTAGCGTCCTCTACTGTCTGAGCTCCGACAAGCAAGTCATCAACATAGAAGAACTTTTGAAGAAGACTTGCGGCTTCTTTCATTTTTCTATTCACGTTTTCAGGTGATGTTTGAGAGTTGCCGAAAGCGGGAATGGAATCACCGAGGTTCCAAACGGCACGCGGGTCATCCGGCAGTCTTCAACTTTTTGCTCCTCAGCCGGCACTTCAGCGGCGTCACACCATAAAAACCGCAGTGCGTCACGATCACCAGGCCGCACGCTCACTTGTTAAAAAGCATTCTCTATATCGACTGTGATAACGATAGGGTATGCTCGAAAACGTATAAAACCTCAACCCAATCGGCATTCATCTTTGGCCCCTTTTCTAGATGATCATTCAGTGAGGCGACTCTTTGCAAATGTGATGATGCGTCGAGCACTACTCTTAGTTGTGTGGTTTCAGAGTCCATCCGAATCATTGGCTGGGTGAGACACGTAATAGATACGTGAGTTGTCCGAGGACCCCTGTGGGACTTTCTCCGCATGTCCAGCTTTAAAATAGCCGTACATGGCATTCTCATAATCTCTCAATAGAGACTCGTTTCGTGAGAGTCGCTTCTGCAAAGCTTCGAGTCGCTTCAGCGCTACGGCTCTGTTATCGTAAAGTTCGCCTGCGTTCGATTTCCAAGGCAAGCTCACCTCATATCGTCCGTTTACTTTTACGATAGTTCATTCAAACTCATTCCACACCGCGTTTTGTTCTTCACCCGTGTCATACAGGTTATCTATACAGGGTGCAAAAACCTGCTCAAGGTCTTTTCCTCACTGAAAAAACAGTGCGTGCGCAGCGGGCGAGCTGGTGGATGTTGAGCATGATGTAGAAAACCCGAGACTGTCGTAAAAGCAGGGAAACTTGGTCGAAGAAGAAAGACAGGGGAAAAGAACGTGTCAAACTCAGCTAATGCGTATATCTCCTCAATGTGTTATATACCCAGAACCTAACCATTGACCACCGACGTCACAAGGTTCTTCCAACCTTTGTTATCTATATAATCCTACCAACACCGGTCTTCACCTCAACCGTAAACGGTGACCTCAATCCCAAACCGAAACCTTAGGGCTTTGAACAAAAACAAACAAAACAAAAGAAACACACCGACCCACTTCCTTTCCAGCCGGAGTTTGGAAAGGCGGTGCTTTATCTAAACGAGAACTGATATGACTTCCAACTAAACCCCTGCCCGCAAAATGACAAATTCTACGTTCACTTACCCCCATTAAAGCAAAATTTATACAAGGCATTGAGGAAATAAAGGCTGTAGCTGAGTTTTTGAGACGTTCTTTTCCCCTAGATCATGATCTTTTCCTCAGCGTTTTCAATTGTCCCAAGTTGTAGCGCGCAGGCCATCGTCTTAGTAGATTCAGTAAGACAGCTATGCAGCGATGCTGGTTCCTGAAAAATCCAACCAAATTTGGTGTTGAAGGACAGCGGACAGGAGTTGCCCTCAAATCGCCGTATCTGGTCGGTCGTGACCTTCCACAGTGGGTCTGAGCCAATAAGGAGGCTTATTCCTTGTTCCGTAGGCATACCAGGGAGAAGAAGCTTATCTCCTATGCAGCCTCCTTCTTCTTCGGTGCTCTGGACAAACTCGTGATCCACAGGCACTTAAACAACGTCTTTGCATATGAATGGTATTTCGACCGCTTCGATAACATAATTCTCATGACTGTACTGACTGCGCATCTTCACTTAACCAACCTTCGTTCATATGGTATCGAAGTGGATCTACCAAAGGTGTTCAAACGCAAGTTAGTCTCACTTAACACCTTGAGATTTAGCTGGCGTGAACTGTCTTCGCGAATAAACGTTTGCTGTCTTCCGCCATCAAAGAAAGCACGTGGGCATACACTGCGCCCATATCCGACTACCCAAGTCCGAATGGTCTGCAGAAAAATTTCTGCATCCAGCAAGCCTGCAGCATTGGTGTTGCCGGTGCTCTGAACGCTAGTAGTGATGGCTTGGTTTTCGCTGCTACCCGATGAAGGTTCCCAAGTGAGATCACACATTGATGTTGCGAGTCGTCCTCTGCAGGTAGTGCAGGACAACTTCCGGTGACAATCCTTTAATCTGTGTCCTCAAAGTGTGCACCGGAAGCATCGAATTTCCCCAGCAAGCTTCGTTTTCTTCTCCTTCAACGAGATGTCAATGGTACAGAGCTGTGTATCGAGGTTCGTGGCTCCGCAAAAGAAGCACTTCTTTGTGTCTTGTGCCTTGGCATGCAGAACCGAAGAGGTTGGTAAGAAAGCTTGTTTCTCTTGTTGCTCTCGGCTATTCCTCTTTTGCGGGCGATCATCGATGACTCCCGATCGTTTTCTGCTCTCGATCTCAATGAATAGGTATTCCAACAAGGTTTTCAATTCGTCTTCCGGAAGACGTCGGGATGTTGGAATATCTTCAGCGCGTTCTGTTGGTCTCGCGGTCGGCGCGTAATACTCGCTGTACCGGACGAGGAGGACCGTTTTCCCAGTGGCGCTGGTAGAACTCCTTTCGGGGTGACCAGCACGTCGGTAACAGTCGACCACGATGTCAGATGGGAGTGAACTGATGACAATATCTGTCAGCATGGTTGAATACGTGTTAGATGCCACTCCAAGTCCTCAAAGACCTCGTATGTGGGCTTGCACTTGACCAAAAAGCCTTCTCAGCCCCAGTAGATGTTAGGTAGGTTGTTTTCCCCGACCTCGATGGACCACCTTGAAGTTGCCGTCGAGGACCGGGGGATCGTGGATGAAGCTAGTTGCTGGAGGGCTGGGTGCGTTGGTGGTGATGCAGAGGCGACCGACAACTTGGAGGGTTAACGAGATGAACGAAACTTTACTTCGATAAAAAAAAAGAATCAAACAGTTACATAAAATACAAGTGCGAACTGTAATAAACTTCCGCGCACGGCTTACAAACTGCACAGACGCCTCGGCGTCGGATGGCCCTACCGCGCACGGTAAGGACGGCGAATACCTTGTAGCCGCGAAGACGAAGATGCTGTCGCGCACGACAGGTAACGCGGCGCACCGCGGGGGCTGAACGTCAGTTGGGTCGCTCACGAGCCCGTTCCAAAACTCAGATTCCCCTGTCCGACCAGGGTCTAAAACAGCGTGCTCGAACCTGCGTAGGCCAATCAGGGTTTGACCCTGGTCCCATTGGCCAGAGGAACCAAACTCCAACGCCTACACACAGCGCACTTTCGACCAATAGGGTCAGAGGTCATTGCTCCGGGAGTGAACCATAAGCCGAGAATTGGTTCTCAGAAGCCGAGGATAAAATAAGACTTATGGCTTTCCTATCTGGCCACAGAGGATACACATTCGCAAACGGCAAGAACCATCGAGACATGTTGGCGGGGGAACGTCAATGCCACCGCCAAAGGCCACCGCCAGGCATATGCAGAATATATAGGGAGCGCCTGGTTCCCGGGCGTCACGGAAGAGTTCCGAGACACGACTTCAGGAGCTCTGAAGCACTTTGTCTCCCAGCAAACGACCTGGCGACCGGTGACGTGTTAATGTCTCGGCCGTGGGTTCCCCGGCAAACCTTTACGTCTGGCTTCGCGTCTCAGGGTCAATGGGTAGACGCACGCAGCGCCGAGACAGCAGCCTCTCGTCGGCAAGTTAAGTGTTTTCACGTGGGTTCGAAAACCGGGGTTCCGCATGAAATGCAACGAAGAGGGCGAAATGCCCGCGGCCATTTCCCCGATACCGGGAAAAGCTCATAAACAAGCAGAATTCCAACTTCTAACGGCACGGGACCCCTTGAAACGCGACACTCGACTTCCAAAGCGCCTCCCCACTCCCGACCGAAGCGCCGCCAGGCGGCTAAACAAAACAGAGCGGGATATGCCGTCCTGTCGGTCAAGAAAAAAGTAATAAATAAAGGCGACCACCTCTACAGCCCCTTTGTGTCGGCTGAGGAGGTAACAGCTTGGAGTTTGCGAAGCTTCAAAAGATGGTCCTTCTGGATTTGTCGTGCGTCTTCGAATTGTCTTGTCAAAATTTCTATCGCATCGTTGTAGTGGGCGTCCGCTACTGGGAGACCGGCGACGGAAGCCCTCGCAGGTCCGTTGACCATCGTCTTCAAGTACTGGAACTTCTCGCCGTTTGACAGATCATCGCTCTCGTGTAGGGCTCGTTTGAACTGTTGCCAAAATGGCTGCCACTCCGAAAGATCGCCCTTGAATGACTGCAGCTGCAACCAAGGAAGGTTTACACCGCTGCGCCTCCTTTCGCCTCTTTCTTCGTTGTGGGAGCCATTTGCTGATGCTGCTGGGCGCGGTGGTTCATTTGAGCGAAGTTGCGTCGCTCGCCTCCGAAGCAAACTCAAAACGGAAGTTGTCTGTTCTTTGTACACCATCACTGACAGGTATTCTACCTCAAGATTTCCATCCGCAATAACTTGTTCCAAGTCAGTGTTCAGCTTCTTGACTTCTTCGTAGTTGGCGTCCAGTTTCCGCAGAGTTGCTTCGATTTGTTCTACGTAAGTAGACCGAAGAATAGTGGTCGTCTCTCTGATTATGCGGGTGTTTTGCACTTGTCTCGACGTCCTCTTCGTTCTTATTCTCTCCATATCGTTCCAGGGTAGGTAATAACCGGTAGTTGAAAGAATTTCTTACTTGGTCGTACGTTCGAAGGCCAGTCCGGGGCGACCGATCGTTCACGGTTTCTTAGGGTCGTTCCTGGCTTGAAGTCCAGGGTTTTGTCACCATCTTTTGCGTAATGAGTCCCCACGAACTGACTTATAAAAGGGACTTGGTTTAATATTTACATGACCGCGGTAAAATCTATCCTGACCATTGCCCTGCTTCTTTGTCGTACCAAAACCAAAGTGTCTCTTCTCGTGCCACCAACACTTCTCCTTCGTCCTCAGTCCCTGACACGATCTCGCTCACCGAAAAAATGTCCCAGGCGCGAGACAGGATCGCCCTCCACTAGTCATTTTCCAACAGCTGGGATTCACATCACCTCGTCATCTGCGCTTGGTGTATAAAATAAAGATGCGAAATACACACAGTGAGAACAGACACTTCGCTTTATTACGAGCAATAACAAAAACAAATTTGGTGCTCGAATTCTCTCTGTGAAGGCGGTTGGCCAGCGAAGCTGTGGTATCACCTGGAACGATTGCCCATTGCACTATGCCAATATTTGAAGAAAGAAAAGCAAATGTACTGTACCAAATATTTGTTTATTAGACCCTTTTCTTTTCAAACGCCACCAGGCGGTGCTCCAGTCTATGACGTCAGAGTTAACTTCCGGCTCATAAAAAGAATACACAAAGCCACCTTGACACCGCTGCCTGAAGTGCGGATGAATCATTTAACTGCCAATTCTTCAGGCGAACGCCAAAAGAACGAAGAAGCTGGATGTGCGTTAAAATGTTTGAATATTGTGTAACCCAACTTGGCTCCTCCAAGACGTTCCATTGTAAAGAAGAATGCCCTCATTAAATCTCCAATTTCGTTGCCCGCGTAGCATTTATCTTTTCCACCACTGGTGGCATAAGCAAGCTCGACATCCTTGCAAAGTCGGAGCGACGGCAGTCGCTTGGAACTTAAGCGGCAGTTGATGTTTGCAAGCAGCAAACGGGTCTATATCAAAGACTTCGTACTCTGCCGTTGGGGCGGCAGCTTATGCAATCGCAATTTTTACCGAGATATGCATCCGAGGAGAGCGACGTGCTTCGCGCACGCCTTATCATCTATCATGTGGTTTCGAGACTTGTTTTGTGGTTTTCTTACTGAAACAAGTGTCAAAACCATATTATAGAAGATAAGGTGCGCGCGAGCGAAGAGAAGGCGGGCGAGATAGTTTTCTGTCGACTACTGTTTTGTCGACGCACACAAAGAAACTGGACCAAGGAATCATATACAGCTCCGCTGTGATAAAGACGAGTTAAAAAAAGTGTTTTCTCACGTCGTCTCGAATTTTCACATTGTTGGTACCTTATTAACATGGCGCGATTAACTTTCTCAGCAAATAAATCTTAATTCAGTTTCATAGGCCTACTTCAAACCGGGGAAAACAACGAATATCAAAGCATAGGTAGATTCTTGAGGTGCTGCTGCATTTTTTAAACCTATTAAAAATTAGCTATCCACAATCGCCGTTTCTACATGCAGCGCTTGCAGTCGCCGCCTATATTTGTAGTACCACGTGCATAAACGTACCTGCTCGTCGATGATTTTACTTGCTCTGCAACATCAAAGTTACATTTGGATGGAGGCAGGCACCCTTATACTGCTACATAGTGCTGATAAAATTTAACTGACCACGGTCAACCTAACGATGTCATTTTTATATCCTATTTCTATGCGCGTCGCCGCGCGAGCACATGCGTGGCCGAATGTCTTTCCGTGTTTGGCTTTACCGAGGTGGCCCCAGTTTAAATTCCTGGGAGCGGACGCTTGGTTTATTTATTGTTTCAATTCAGCGTTCTTGTAAGTTCGAGAGCCTTAACGTCTATTGGAGTTACTAATGTTTTACTCGTCGAACGTTCTACGCCGAATGTTCCAGAAGCCCACGCGTGTACATAAAGACTTCCGCGTGGCCAGCCAGTGTGAGTCTCGCCCCAGCGATAAATCGTGCTCTTACGTCGCCATCTACACCTGCGATGATAGCCTTTTTTTATTTGGTTTTGGGCTCAAGTTCGCCTCAATGAACGCGTGATTTCCGTCAGTAATTCGTCGCCTCATCAATTGCCGTTCGTGACTCTCTCTAGTTTCCGTAATACAAAAGATCAGAATCTCATATTGAGCGTTTGAGGACGTCCTGTTCTTCGTTACAATGAGAAGCAGGCATTCACCTTTACCTAATGCTTACGATCTATTCTAGCGATAGCTGATTTCCTTTCAGGGCGCGGTTCTTAGATGCCCGTTTCCGCGTATAGCGGTGTCGCCATCGCCGTCGGCGTAACCGCTTCGCTAAATTCAGCGGGAAATTGAATTGTTGTTGAGGTCACGTGGCGTCAATCTTCCAGCGAACTTTAGTGGGCA